TCGTACGCCGAGACAGAGGCCGAACGTTCCCAGTGTTACCGGTCTCGCCGGATAGCAGCACAAGCCCAGCCACGACCCAGTATCCTACACGCAATCAAGGAAGACGGAGACCACCTGGAACACCTCGCAACAAACGCCTGAACGAGGCGTTTGATCATATCAACTCCCTGCAACGCGACCGCAACTCCATCCAGCCAGTGATCCAGAAGGCACGCCGACGTGCTGGACGTATCCGATCTGCGATGAAGCGCGCTGTGTTACACAAAACGTTCCGCACTCATGCGAAGGCGTGCATGCAGCATATCTTCGCCGAGACAACGACAGACCCCGAGGGCGCGACAAATCCGACGGCCCCGACGCGCTGCCCGCTCCCACAGGCCGAAGTGCACGAGTATTTCCAGGGACATCGCGACAGTTCAACTTCGACGATGAGGCAGGCAAGCCTTTCCGGCAACGGTTGGCTTCGATGTTGCCCGCCACGGCGGAGATAGCAGTGCTCACGGACGATATCACGACGGTTGCAGTTGCGGACGCGGTGCATCGTGCTCAGGCCCAGTCTAGGCCGGGCATCGACGGGGTTGGACACGAACTTTTCAAGACGTTCCTGTCGGTGCTGCTACCAGCGTTGCACACTGCTTTCCGTGTGTGTTGGAAGCACGGTAACGTGCCTGCCGTGTGGAAGGTGGGCACAGCGCAGCTCATGTCACAGAGAGCCCATGGAACCCGTAAGCAACGAACTGTGTTGTTGATGTGGCCAAGTGCCTTGTGACTGGTAGAACTGCAGTGAAGAGCTGTGGCTGGCGGCTGCGAAACTGCAGCAAAAGCTACTGCAATACAATAGACACAAAATAACGGTCAGGCACACGCTGTGTCGCTTGTACCTCTACAACCCTGGTGGCAGTCTACACGACACGATTCCGCAGGCATAGCTCGTAATTTTAAAGAATATGGGCCCCACCGCATTTCAAAGGTATGTACACCTGAATTCTGGATATGGATCTATGACCTTTAGTTGCTCAACGGGTGTAATTATTTCGTTTTGGTTTTTGCGTGTGAAGGTGGCAGGAGCTGCTAACGATGACAGGCAAATCGCTTCATGGGCAGACCGTAGATGACTTGAGGTTTTGAGCACGTGCTGGTTATGGAATGCTGTGAAACATTCCATGTGGAAGCCAACCGCACATTTTGTACAGCCGTTTCGTGACTTTTCTTGATGTTTGGCTTGCTGTACAGATGGCAGAGCAGATTTCCACTGCTGTGTTCAGTTGAATTCGAGATGTTCGTGTGCAATGACGTATGCATTCCAATAATTCCTTCCAAATTCTCCCTACCACGTTTTCTGCTGCTTTTCGCGTCGCCGCTTGTTTTGATTCTCACGGGAAGTAAGGATCTGCCATTCGACGTTTGAACCCACGTAATACAAAACTTTTAATGTATTTGGTCGTGCTGTTTTGAGTAGTGTGCGAGAGTTGATAATTGCATGTTCCGTCATCCAAGTGAGGAAGACATACCGAGGCGTACATCGCGACGTCGCATTGGGTTTGAAGACCGCATCGATTAACTGCGTTCATACAAAGATTGTACGCAGGGATAACAGTCTGAGTCATGTATACTTTACGGTGCATCATGCGATCCTCACCCCATCTTTGACTACGGAATGTACTATGGCAGCAAGAGACATCCTCGGGCAAAATATCAGGTAGTGCCAACTCAGAAGTTGTGGCTTTCAAGTCATTGGATTAAAAGATTACATCGCGACCATCCTTGTAGATGGTATAATCCGCTTGCTTTGCCTTGATCATTTTCGGTGCGTATGCAGTCCGCTTTGCTTTGGTAACTCGACGCTGAGCATTATCATGAACACGCTTCTTCTCCTTCCATTCCAGTTCAGGATCTATGGCTGCTGCTAACTCCCATCCACCTCGTTCGCCATCTACACGCTCCACTGTAGCTCTCACAGTAGGTTTGTTCCAGTTATCTACGAGAATGATCCTGACTGTCCACAACAAGTGCATTTCCTCATCCGTGAATTTGGCAACGCATTAGTAAAAGTATGATGCGTGTAAAAGTCAAATAATACAACTAGTCGATAACGGGTAGAAGATTGCAACACTCGAGTTTGATGTCCCTCCATTGCGATCCACATCGCTGTTGCCGAGTCATGCTTGATGCCCGCACCATCGGATTGCAGCGTATTAGATATGGGAGTTCTCACTATCGGAAATAAACTGATGTAAGGCATGTTGTTTCCCAACGAGTGCACACATAACGAGCTCCATCCAACGACTGCATAGAAACGAATTCCATTCTTTTCTGATTTAGACGGCACGAAAGACACCGCTCGTGTCCAAGCCTTTGTACGAACAGGCATCTCATCAATACTGCTAACTCCAACCGTTACGGCAAACGCGGCGAAGCATTGTTGAAAATGTTTCATCATGACACGGCTCTGCCTCAGTGGGTTAGGTTCTCTGTCAAATAAAGGATGTTCAGGTGGGTAAGTATTTAAGAGCCCCGTAAATCTTTTGAACGCTGTTCCTTGACATCGTCTCCATAAATACACTTTGTCCCAGAAATAGGCGCTTCGACCAAAACGCTGCTATTTCATTTAGAGGACAGGTACTCATAGCGATTTCAAGGCCCAAGTAGGCATTGAATTTGATTTCAGTAATGACAATGTGTCCATCTCTAACTAGCACATTCGAAGTCTGCATGCGTAGCCGAGTTTTGAAATCCGCAATAAAAACAACGAAAATACTTTCTATTCTGTCTTTGCGTTGGACTTGATCTGATATTGCCACGTGAAGGCTACTCTCGTCGCATATTAAATCCATGTACTTCTTCGCGATATCTGGGTTAGAAGGTGTCTCCAGATGGTGTCGACAGTGGTGTACTTGTGGTTGCGTGGGTACTTCTCGGCGGAGAGATCTCCATCTCTTCACATGTGTGTGTCTTGAGCGACATCATCCACGATCTCTTTTTTCTACGTGTAATATGTCTGTGTTTGTGTGGAGCAAGTCGGACGAGTCGCTTTCAACATCGTCAACCACCCTCTCTTCTCTCGACAGCAGCGTGTCAATAGTTGTTGCTCGCACTGAATCTGTGGAAGTGACGCAGAGGGGGTGATAACCTGTGATAGCCTTATATGGATGGTATGTTGCCAACATGGCGGGAATTGCGCGATGTTGAGATATAAAATTTTTATACCAGCCGCCGTGTAGCTCAAGTATACAAGTAAGAATAAAAAAGTTCGAGCCCAATATAAGTGTCCGTTCCGGTTGAAATTACAAAACTCCCAATTTCGATCATACCAGAAATGAACGGAATAGTTTTATTTGGTGAATTTCGCTTTAGATGTTAGAACCTGATAAGATGGTATAGAAAAAAAACAAGTCGAGCAGAGCCCCGCAAGCGGGGCCCTTAGCGCAAGCTAAGTCGAGCATGTATTGTTGGCCGCCTCGGTTCGCTCGGCGGGGTAAACTCAAAAATCTAGAAATAAATATAAAGTGAATATTTAGGAAAATTAGGAACTGAGCTTAATACGTATAGTTATAGAACTACCTCCCCGTACACAATATGTTTTTGTGTATACGTCCTCATCCACCACAGCTGGGTTGTCTGTTAAAATCTTAATGTTTGCTCTAGATGTAACTCGAGATATTACGACGTAGAATTGGCCGTGTGAAAACAATGTCTCTGGAAGAAAGAGACCAAGATATTGAATAGATTGGCCTTGGGACTTTTTGATGGTCATCGCGAACGCGACTTGAACAGGAAACAGCTTCCTCCACATTTCAAACGGGAAACCTGAGTTTTACAAATGAGTGTAACGCGGTGAATTAACACCACTTTTCCAGAAAACCCACCAGTCATAGTGGATGCTTTCATGCAATTAGCTCGAAGTTCAATAATTCGCAATCTGGTGCCATTGCATACCTTCCTTGGTGTTGAGATTTCTGATCAGCATAACAGGTCGCCAACCTTAAGTTTCGGTTTGTGGGGTGGCATGGCACTCAGGGAAATATTGTTAAAAAACTCGGGAGGATACAGATCACTGTGTTCTTGTCGTCATCTCCATCGCGACTATCAACGGACAGATACACCATGGACTGTCCAGACAATTTCTGGAGAATCTTTTCGTTGATGCGAAGAACTCAGGGTTCTTTGGGTCAAAGTAATTCTATCCGCGAAGTACTTGTCAGGTTGATCCCCCTTGTTGAAGTCAGAGTACACATTGTCAATCAATAACGACAGTTTATCTGTGATACTGGCCACCTCATTGAGTGGCGATTCAGCTGGGCCGTAATGTCAAGGAGAATACCCAGTGGGATCTTGATGTAGTCGGTGCCAAGTTCTGAAGAAGTTTTGTGTCTTACGTCACCAATCCGTAAAAGATAATCTGAACATGCTTGTGCTACTCGAGCGGTTAAAGGGTTTCTGGACGTATGCCCCTTCAAATTGATGGAGAGGCGTAGACGTTCAAATTTCGACCACAAAACCGATCGCTTGATAGATGTTGAAATGGTTTCAGCAGGTCCGGCTCTGGGGATAACAGGGAAGTGTCTGTCTGAATTCTCCTGACAACACCATTGTGATACCGCCGAAAGGCAAGTCATTTATCAACGTTCATGTCAGGAAGAGCATGTCGCTGGAGCGATGTAAAATCAGAGAGTCCACATAGAGCGGAGAAGCGGGTAAAATGAACTTCTCGACGCGGAAAGATACTACCACCTTTAGTAGAAAGGGCACATAACGCAGCAATCAACTGTTCATACGCAGGATATTCAAAAGAATCATCCTCTGACCTGGTAGGCGATAGATTTCTCAGAGCGTTAGAAAGTTGAGCGTAGGTCGAGAACCCTGGCCCCGGCTCTGTATGTGAAACATAATCTTTCGATAGGTTTGGTAAACCTGCATTAAGCTGCGCGTAAGACGGAAATACAGGTTCTGGGGTATCTTGAGAAGTAGTTTCTGGCGTAGGATTTGTCAACGCGCCAGACAAATGAGCATACATGGGGTAGCGACGTTGAGTGGTAGCATGAATCGAATAATCAGCAGAGATATTTCGAAGAAGCCTGTGTGGAATAGATATTCGTTTCAAAAAATTGAGGAATAGAATTTTATAGATATTTGCGCGGAATACAAATTTGGTATTGAAATATGTGTGGAATAGAACTCTGTGGATGAACTATGATTACCATAAGTTGATGTGCGGAATATAACTATGTGTCGGAATAGAACTATGTTAGGTAGAGTAACCTATATGGGACATTAAACCTACGTATGGAAGTTTAACCTACGTGAAATACCTCTCTATGTACCTGTCTATGGGGAAAAGAATTTTATGGTGTGGAATAGCACTCTATGTGGATAGCAGTCTATGTGGAATAGAAATAATGCGAGAGCTTAATTAATGAATGACCCGTAGTGGGTGGTACCTGTTAACATAAGTTGCTGCCACCTGCAACATCATCGGTCAACTACGCTGAGCCGAAGAAATTTATATGACTGAATGTCGTCCGAAGAGAAACCCTTTTAAAGCGCATCTACTACGGTGAACGTAGGATTTTTGATCGGGCATACAATGTCTTTGAACCGATGTAAAGCTGAAATCCAGAACTTCCCCGTGTAGAACACGTCATTAGGTTTATTATCGAATCCCCTGTATCGCGCCCTTCCTATCGCACATCAAGTCTCCCTCGTAGGCGAAACGAATGGTCCGAGTCAACTTCGCCTCAGGGCCACAAATTATGGACCACAATGAGGTCC